TGTCCCCAGCATTGCTCTGTGGGACTCAGCACTGCTGTGTCCCCAGGCCTGGGACAGTGGTCGAACACAAACTGGGAGCTCAACCAGTGTCGGCCAACCACCCGACTGGAGAGAGCAAGCGGATTTGACCCGGTGAATGCCCAAGACCCCTCTGGTCATGGGCCGCTCCTGATGGCCATATGTGACCTGCCCAGCAACTCTGATGCATTCTCAAGGTGTGGCTGTGGGTCAGCCCCTCAAATGTGACCCAGGCAGCCACGTTTCCTCCCAAGCAGACGTGTGCAGCCGGGAGAGGCTGTGGTGATGATGACATTCAGGGACAGTGGCAGGAGAGGCTGCATGTGCCCCTCACTACCCCACTGAAAGGCCTCGGCCACAAAGGCGTCTGGGAAGTGACAGGAGCGCGGCTGGAGAGGGGCTGCAGCCGGCAAGGAAGCCACGGTGCCCAGCAAAACCAGACTTGTCAGTGTCCACCAAAACAAACGCGCTATCCAGGATGTGGCCAAACTCAGGAGTGTGGAATAATAGGAAATGTGTGCGGCTTGGCGGGTGGGAGCCAGACAACATGGCACAGCAGGAGGAAAGAAAGGATTTGGAGGCAGCTCCACAATAAATGAATACTCATCTCGTGTTCTTCTTCTTCGGGGTGAGAGAGGGGCCAGCCCTGGTCTGACCGTGGGGTCTGCATACTCTTTGCCTCAACGAGGGGGGAGATAACCCTTATTTTTAGAAATGAATTTTTGTGTTGGGGCATTGGGTCACACGTTTGCCAGGAGACTTTATGGGGTGAAGAGAAAAGGACTGACACCTGCCCCCCACAGGCCTCCTGTCCGCGGACGGCAGGTCCCTGGAGCCTGTCTTCCCACCCGTCACACAGGGTGAGAGCCTCCCACCTCACCTCCACAGGGTCGTGCCAGGGATCAAACAAGGACAGACATTTCCCAGAGTGGACCGTCTTCCAGAATGTCATGACCTCTGCCTTTAAGCCCCATCAGGGAGCAGGGATGACCCGGTTATATCCAGGAAGATAGACCTCGGGCACCCTTGTGTGTGTGTTTCAAAGCCTTCGCATACATTCTTCCTTTTGTTTTAAAAGTCCAGCACTTTCCATGGCTATGGCCCAGAGAGACAACTTTGTCATGGTTTTGGGAGAGCCTCTGAGCTCTTGGACGTCTGCTCGAGGCCGCTCCAGACTCGTCGCTGCTGGCCTAGAGGAGCTGAGAGGGCAGTGCCAGGAGCCAGGAGCCAGGCGCAGGCCCCGGGGGCCTCGGAGATGAGGGGGGCTTGGGGCCCTGCCCTGAGCCTCCTCCAGCCCTGGGCCCGAGAAGAAGGGTAAGTCATTATCTTCAAAATGCCATTGGGCTGGGGAGTCCGGTGGTTCTGCTCTGAGGAGAGCAGGGCCTGAAGGAAAACTCCACTGGGCCTGGGGCAGGGGTTGGGGCATCTGGTTCAAACAGGTTCCCTGGCATGTCCTTCCTTCCTTGTGGTCCCCAGGAACCTTGCAAGTTTGCCTATGAGCCCTCACCTGGCCCCCGGGCCATGTGCGCTGGGCCGCCAGCCCTCGGTGCGTCTGAAGGGCTGAAACTTGTGTTGGGTTGTGTCCATGGTCATCCCCTTGACGGAACACTTTTAGGAACCTCTGCTGAAAGGAATCCACCCACACCCCCCTGTGCCCGTAACCCCCGAAGGGACGCAGCCAGCCTGCTCAGAGAGTGGTCAGCTAGGCCAACAGGCTCCCACGGACCACAGCCAAGTTCAGAGGGAGAAAGAGCCTGTGGTCCTTGGGTCTGGGCCATCACAGGGGCTGCAGACGCCGAGTGATCACATCAGACCTCACTTCCTTCTTGCCTTGAAAGTTGTGGTTTTAAAAGTCCGGACTCCCTCCCCCTCCCGGTGCCCTGTTTTCCATCATTTCCTGGGTGTGAGTTGCTTCTGTGTCATGAAGATCCTGGTAAGCCACCACCGGTGGGCTCCGGAGGTCCTACATATTACCAGTCTGAGAACATCCCTGCCTGTTAAAGGGTTGAATGCTTCCTGACCTTCTTACCTACAATGTCGTGATGTATAAGAAATGTTTATTTGGTCATTCAGATGATCACAATATATTTTTCATACATATTTGGTCTTTGTCCACAGTTTATGGCTCGGAAGTCCCTAAACCCTTGGAATTTTGAAAGTGGTTAAGGGCGATAAAGATGGGGAGATGGGGTTTGGGTGTTTTGTTGGTTGGTTGGTTGGTGGGTGGTTTTTTGTTTGTTTGTTTGTTTTTCAAGATTTTATGTATTTATTTGACAACGAGAGAGACATAGTGAGAGAGGGAACACAAGCAGGGGGAGTGGGAGAGGAAGAAGCAGGCTTCCCAACAGAGCAGGGAACCCGATGTGGGGCTGGATCCCTGGATCCCAGGACCATGACCTGAGCCAAAGGCAGCCACTCAATGACTGAGCCACCCAGGTGCCCCTGTTTGCTTTTTTCTTAAGCAGGCTCCACGTCCAGCCTGGAGCCCAGTGGGGCATGAACTCATGACCCTGAGATTAAGCCCTGAGCTCAGATCAAGAGTCTGAGGCTCAACACACTGAGCCCCCAGGGTGCCCCAAATTGTCTTTTGTTATATTGATAGAAGCTACTTTGTACCCTACACAAGACGGGCGCTGGTAACCCAGACGGCCCACTGTATGGTTAGTGGGTTACAATTTCTGATCCCTTTAAGCCCCCAACCTCCTCTGAGGAGGGGAAGGGCCCCCGGAAAGGGCCTCGAGGCCCCACAGCCTTCCACGTTCCTCGCCTTAGTTCAGTGGCTGTTGATTCTTATCCTTTCATGCTCCGGTAAGTGTGAGTATCTCCCCGAGTTCTGTGAGCCGCTCGGGCAGATTAACTGACTATAAGGAGGGGGTCTTTGGAACCCCCAGCCTGTAATAGATCGGTCACAGGTGACAACCTGGGGCTCACAACCGGCCTCTGATGTGGGGGTGGTCTTGTAGGAAGGCGCTGTGGGGTCTGGAGCCGGACAGTCTGGACTGCGCTGAAATCTCCGCCCGCCAGCTCGTATCTGAGAATTGCTGGGTATTCGGGGCCGAGGGGAGGGGACCCACGTCTCATGCTGGCACTGGGTCAGGGAACCTTTAAAGACCGCCCCTCTGTCTGACCCCAGGCCGCAGCAGCCGAGGGAGCAGTCAAGCCCAGCAAAGAATTTGCAGGGCCTGGAACAAGCTGAGAGTGTGGGCCTGGGGCAGGCCCGCGTCCGTGCTGAGCCTGGGGCCTTCTGAGCACAGGGCTGGGGGTGGGGAGCGCCCAGGGCATCTTCAGAACAGCCAGTTCTCCCAGTGGCTGTGTGAGTTGTGTCCGGGGTGGGGGGCGAGAATTCCTGTCCCCATTCAAAGGCAAATGGGACATCCTGATGCAAGGGAAGGGGACAGGGGTCCGGCACTTGAGACGGCGACAGGGCGCGAAGAAGAGCAGGTGTCTGGTCACTAGACGTCTCTCCTGCCCCACAGATGGATCGTTCAGATAAAGTTGATCTCTGCTAATAACCCTCATTCTGGGAAAGACCTGATTTAGCTCCTTCTGTGGAGCTGGGGGAGGCACAAAGTTTCTCTTGAGCCCGCAGGGTGTCAACTGCCTTCAGCTCTGAATGCGCTTCATGCCAGAGCAGCTGTCAGTCAGGTGACCCGCCCTCGGCCCCTGCGGTGGAAAAACTTGTAAGTCAGCACATTTCCCCCCAATATTAGGGATGTGGCCTCGGACCTCACAGCCTAGCCGTTGCAGGGGAAGTGCTGAGTGAGCCCTCCCCATCCCTCTGTTTGCCTTGTTGTAGAACACCTGACTGGCCTTTGCACCATCTGGACCGTGACAGTCTGGGGGTCCAGGAGGATCCGAAACAATATTTGTCACCCATGGTGTTGTCACTACTCTGTTCTCAAGCAATGATAGGCTTTTAGCTTCTTCTTCAGTGGGAACCAGAAGTCCCCCTTTCAGGGAGACCCCCACCGGGGACATGAGAGGGTCAGCCATGGCTTCCTTCCCCACGTGGGTGACCTGACTCACCTTAGTTGACATGATGTGGAAGGGGAAGTCTGTCCACATATCTCACACCCAGAGCAGAGCAAAAGGCTCTTAGCCAGGCCAGGGGCACCTGATGGGGCAAGTCCACCTCTACGGGCCTGGATTTAGTGCCCCCCCACTTCACCCCACCCTGCCTCCCCACGCCCAGCTCAAACTTGAGTGTTTCCTTGGCTCTTCAGGAGCAGGACTACATTTCTGGACTGGTAAAGCGGGGCCAGGTCTTTGCCAGACCGGCCTCTCAGCACTGCTGGGGTCCTGGGGCCTTCTCAGCCCTCCCGAGGGTGCTCATGGAAATGGCAGGGAGCCCATGGGCCTTTCCATTCCGGATTGCCAGCTTGGCTCAGGCAGAGGAGGGGCCGCAGGAAGGCGTGGATGCCCATTCACTCAGTGGAGAGCCGAGCAAGGTCATTTGAGGACCCCACGCTCGTGAGGACCCTGGAACCCAATGCCTGGATCTTGCCTTCCAGGAAGAAGGAGGCTGTGTCCAACCTGCTCGGGTGACTGCCCCTCACGAGGAGCAAGAGGGAGGGAGGAAGACACTGTCAGGTCATAAGACCAAGGCCTGGGGGACCCACTTCTGCTTTTGGTTCCCCTTTTGCCCATACCGTATTTTGTTAGCGGGAAAGCTTTTCAAGCATCTTTGGGGGCTGGAATGTAGAAACAATTATTTATGAGCCATGAAATCCTCCCTAAGCGGCCTTTTCTAGACGGGTCCCCCCTTCCCGCGCTGCGGCGGGTGAGTCCCTCTCCAGGAAGCGCCTGGGCCTTGGGGAAATGGGGCCCAGAAAGCCAGGCGAGGGGCCGGGGACCTCCAGGGCGGGGCGGCCGGCCAGCAGGTGCAGGGCGCGGGCGGCGGGCGGGGTCAGGGTCACGCCGGCGGCCGGCTCCGCCCCGGGGGTGGGTCACCGGGCGCGGCCACCTTAAGGCCCGGGCGGGGCGGGGCGGGCGCAGCGCGAGGCCGGCGGGCGGGGAGCCATGGCGTCGTCTGGGCCGCTGCTGCTGGTGCTGCTCGTGCCGCTGGCCGCCGCGCGGGCCGGGCCCTACTTCCTCCCGGGCCGGGGCTGCCGCCTGCCCCTGCGGGGGGACCAGCTGTCGGGGCTGGGGCGCAGGTGGGCTGCGGGCGGGCCGGCCCCACGGGGGTCTCCTGGGGGCCCTGCCGCCTCCCCGGGGCTCCAGGAGCCTGGCGCCCTGCCTCCCTTGACCTTTGAGGGTCAAATCGGGCCGCTGTGTTGGGGGGCACTCTCTCTCTTTACGTTCGTCGGGTTGGACCAGCCTGGCCTGGGGCCTTTGGGGCGTTGCTGGGGGAGCAGTGTGGTTCCTGCATTTGGGGGTGCCCTGCCTCCTTCACGTCCTGGGGTCGTGCCCTGCCTCCTTCACTGGGCTCCCCTGGTGATTCCCGCGCTCATCCCCCGCCCTCATCTTGGGGGAAGGGAGTGGGCACTGATTGTGTTGGCGCTGATCTCTTCCCAGGACCTATCCCCGGCCACACGAGTACCTGTCCCCATCCGACCTGCCCAAGAGCTGGGACTGGCGCAACGTGAACGGGGTCAACTACGCCAGTGCCACCAGGAACCAGCATATCCCCCAGTACTGTGGCTCCTGCTGGGCCCACGGCAGCACCAGTGCCATGGCAGGTAGGCTGGGGTCCGCAGCCCCTCCTGACTGTGGGCTGCCAAGGCCGGTCCGGACGGCCTCCTGGGCGGCACAGGAGGCCACTGCGGCTGTGATTCTGTGCGGGGAGTTTCTGTGCTGGGACTGGGCATGCGGTGGGAGGTGTCTGAGCCGGTCAGGCCTCGGGGAGCTGACCTGTGCCCCTGCCGCTCCTCCCCAGGCAGGGAAGGCCAGAGTGACTGATACAAGCAGGATCCTGTTTCCATCACACAGGGTGGGCCTGCTTGGGACCTGAAACCTGGTGATAATGTGGCTCGTGGGTGCCTTTTCTGTCCCCAGAGCTTGTGACCCCCCTCCCCGCATTTGGGATCAAAACAGAAATCCAGCCTCACTCACCACCCCACCCCCCCCCCCCCCCCCCCCCCCCGCCCGGGATGCGCTCAAGTAAGTGAAACTGCTTTCCAGCAGCACTTAATATGTGAGCTGCAGGCCTGTCCTGGGCGTGGGATACTGAGCAAGGCTGGCTGGTTTTCTCATCTGGCCCTGAGCCGTCTGGCCACAGTGAGGGGAGGCCTTGGGAGAGGAGGGAGGAGAGACGTCACCCAACCTCAGGCCTTCGATCAGTCCCAAGCTGGCCTGGTAGCGTATGGGAGGGGCTCTGCCATCTCCAGTGGCTGCCCAGGGGTCCCGGAGCCTGCAGTGGCACTGGCTGTGCAGTGCAGAAGGGACTGTCTGGGAATCTGGTCCCAGGAGGGCAGGGGCCCACTGCCTCCTCCCTGGTGGGTAGCTCACTGGGCAGGCCTGGTGTCGTCACGTGAAGTGGGTTAAGAACAGGGTGTCTCTGTAGAAGCCTCTGAGCTGCCCTGTGACTGTTCCCATTTTGCAGACGAGGGAGCTGAGGTCCCTGGCCAGGGGCTCAGGAGACTTGGCCACGATGGGAGGTATAACCCAGGAGGCTGGACTTTGGGCCAGGACCTCTTTTGGACTGTCTTTAGGTTGAGCAGAGGGTGGGGTCTGGACTCCAGGAGTGGCCAGCTGTAGCTGGGGTGCCCAGTGGGGTCTCCCCTTGGGGACTGGTAAGCAGACTGAGGCCCCCATTTTATGGTGTGAGAGCCCTTGAGGGAGGCTGGGGATGCCGGCTGCCTGAGATGCAGATGGACCGGGGTCCCTGAAGGGTGTGGAGTTAGAGGCTGAACCACCGAAGCCACTGGGAGACCTCGGGCCCGGCGGGCTGACAGGGGTGTGGGCAAGCCTTGAGGCAGAGGGTCAGGGCACAGGCTGGGCCAGGCATGGCGCTCACAGTGAGGAACTGAAAGAGGGCCTTTGTGGCATCCCTAAGGGTGGGGGATGGAGGGAAAGGCCGAGAAGGTCACGAGGGCGGGCCCGGACCTTGTTCCCTTTCTGGATGGTCAGCCCTCCCGCGTTTCTGGAATGGACTCTCTCTTGGGCAGACAACTGCTTCTCTCCTCTTTCTCCTCGAACCCCTAACTTTCTCCCTGAGCAGCAGGGCCCTGCTTCCTCTTTCCCTGAGAAAAAAGACGCCCCCGAGAGGGGACTTCCACGGGCAGTGGCCCAGCTGCCACCTGACGCAGCTGCTCCCGGCCCACCTTCCGTCCTGTCCCCGGGTGTCCGGCACCCAAACCCCTGGCCCCGTGCCCTGTGCTGGGCCCCGGGTGTCACTGTGAACAAGTGTGTGGGGGCTTCAAGCCTGCGCCCCCTCCAGCTGGACTCCTGGGAGGGTATCTGCAGCCCCTTCTTCCCTCCTTGAGCCCACTCCAGCCTTGCTCCCCCTCCCGCTCTGTGGGCACCATCCTGCCAAGGTCACCTGCGGGGGTCGCCCTGCGAACAGGGCAGTGGTCCCCCGAAGGCCTCGGCCTCATCACCTGTGCTCCATCATCCGTCTGTGACACCCTTTCTCGGCCCTTTCTCTCGGCACTGCGGTCTCCTCCTGCCTCCGGGCCGTCCCCCACATCGCTGTGCCCACTCCTCACCCTCCTAGTTGTACTTCTGTGCGTCAGGGTCCCCCGGACTTGGCCTTCAGGGGCACCCCTTCTTTACACCAGCTGCCCGCTCTCCCTCTACTCAGACACCTGACTCCTCAAACCCCAGGCTTTCCGCCCTTGCTGGGTTCAGCAAGTCAGGACCCCAGCCTTCCCAGGACCCACACAGAAGCCTCGCCTTTGCCCCTGAGGCAATCCTGGGCCAGACCGGGTCAGCTGTACCTTCCAAGTGTGTTCTGCAGCCCCGTCGCTGCACCCCCACTCTGGAGCCCTGGCTCCCGCACCTGACCCTGCCCTGCCTGCTCCGCCCACTCCCTCGCCCCCCACCGTCCCCTCCGCTGGACGCAGCCTGCTGAACCCCAGGTCGGAGTGCGCTGCTGTTCCACTTGGAACCCTCTTGAGATTTCGGGCAGGTAAAACCCAGAATGCTCACCTGACCTACGAGAGCCCCTGTAAGCTGGCCCCTATCCAGTGTTGGGACCCTGCGCCTCAAGGCTCTGACGGTCTCACTGGGCGCCAGGTGCCGGCGTGGGGAATGGCCTCGTGTGTGGCAGAGTGGAGCGGAGCGGGAACGGGACGGGTGCGGAGGGGCTTCCCTTGTGTTCGGGCCACGTAAGGAGCATATTAAACCCTCGGTGGCTGGGTCGGGCAGGGATTGGATACGTGATTCAGGCGTGGACAGGGAGGCCAGCAGAGGGTGGGGAGTGGGCTCCCCGGAGGCATGGGGCATCCGAGGGCAGATGCGCCCCAGGAGCCCAGAGCAGGACGTGCTTCCGGGGGATGGAGTGGCCCCACTGCCCGCCGCTGCTGGGGGAGGGGTGGGCGGAGGAGCCCTGGTTGGGGAAGCAGGGGTCAGCGCTGGCAGCTTCATGGGAGGAGAGGGGAGGCCAGTGAGGTGGGCTGGGCCTCAGGGAGAACGGGTCTGGGAACGGAGAACCGGAGGGCTGTCGGGAGCCTCACTACGCAGCGGACAACTCCCGTGTCGGGACGGGGGTGCATGTGGGACGTGCAGGGGCTCTTTGCTGCTGTTCCGAGGCTGGCAGGTCCACACGTGTGTGCAAGTGCTGATGTGGGAGAGAGAGACCTGGGTCCACGTGGGCCTAGGGTTGGGGTCAGGATCAGGCCACCTGTCGTCCCAGGAGGTGGGGTGGGGACCCAGAAAGCCCGTTGGCCGGCGGAGAGAGGAGGGGCCTGTCATTGAGTTTTCCAGTGACTTTTGGGGGTGAGGGGCTGGGCGAGGTGAGAGGGGTCGCTGTGGGTCCCTGAGAGAGCCAGGCAGCAGGGGCCTGCAGTCAGCGTGTCACAAGCATCTCCCAGGATGGGGGGACACCCCTGCGTGGCCACAGCGTGTAAGGAGACCCGGACCAGTGGAGGTGAAGCGTTTGGAAATGGCTGTGGGAGAAGGGGCTGGTGCCAGGCCTTGTGCGGAGTAGAGGGTGAGTGTGGAGATCCTCCCTTGGGGAAGCTGCCAAGGAGGCGACCTCCGGGGGAGGGAGTCAGCAGCCAGGGCCGTTTGTGCCCTCAGTGGGGCCACTGATACGTACTGAGCACCTGCAGTAGGCACAGGAGCTGCGGCTGGGACCGAGTGCTGCAGGAGACGAACACGGGGATCTCTGGGGGGAGGGGGTTAGCAGGTGACATGGTGTCAGCACAGCTGGGGAGGGCCTGAGAGATGTGGGGGTGGGGGGTGCAGAGGCTGGTGACCTGCAGCCAGCAAAAGGGTGTCTGCAGGAAGGGGCTTTCTAGGCCAAGGAGCGGCCAGGAGACAGGGAGGAAGGTGCAGCGGGTGGCAGGAGCCTTGCTGGGATTGCTGGGGTGTTCCAGAAGGCCGGGCCGGGCGTGGGGGGAGGGCTGGTCAGAGAAGCAGGAGTGGAGCCACAGGAACACCGGCGTCTGGAGCACCCCGCCAGGACGTGGGCGAGTTGGGGGAGCTGGGGGTTGCTGCTGGTGTGGGGAGTGCCCCAGGAGCCAGGACCGTCCTGTTTCTGGCTTGGTCTTTGGACCCGCAGCTCTCGTCCTGCCGGCTCTTCTGCAGGTGCTTCCTGGGCACGTGCAGCTGGACAGACAGACCCAGCCCTGCCCTCGTGGCAGCCAGGCAGGCAGGGTAGGCAGACATACCTGTGCCTGGAGGGGCCGGGGAGGCCCCTGGAGCGCCGAGACTCCCGAGCCTGGGTCGAAGCCCCCGGCGGGCAGGCTGACCAGGCGCGGTTGCTGTCCTCGCAGACCGGATCAACATCAAGAGAAAGGGGGCGTGGCCCTCCACCCTGCTGTCCGTGCAGCACGTCCTGGACTGCGCCAACGCGGGCTCCTGCAGGGGGGGCAACGACCTGCCGGTGTGGAGGTACGCCCACGAGCACGGCATCCCGGACGAGACCTGCAACAACTACCAGGCTAAGGACCAGGGTAGGCCCTGCCCGTCCCGCACGTCCTCCTCCTGGGGAAAGTGGGGCTGGGGGGCGGGGGGAGGGCTGGATAGAGGTTGGAGCCGCCCGCCCCCAGTGGGGCAGGGAGAGCAGGCAGGTGCGGCGCCTGCAGTCCTTGTTGGGAAGTCCGGCCGAAGACTTGGAGCGGGTGTCTCCAGCCTGTGCCCCCTGTGGCCAGCACCGGCCATGGCATTTGGGTTCTACCATGCTGGTGTTTCGGTGGTTTCCCAAAATGGGCCCTTGTCAAGGCAAGAGTATATTTTCTAGGAGTGGGTGAGGATGGCAGGCCAGCAGCTAGGTAGATGGAAGCCTGCGGGCGCTGCTGAAACCTGGGATCGGCCTGCCACCCTGGCCTGGGCCGTGCACATGTGAGTGCACTTGGAGTGGAGGGTTCTGTGTGGGCCAGCAGAGCCCTGGCCTGGAGTCTTGGAAGTTGGCACAGTCCTTCTAGGCTGCTCCCCTTGGAAACCAAAGGAAAGAAAGTCCAAACCCCAAACCTGTAATTGGCAGTTTGAAGTCACCTGTCCCTGTCTGAGTGCCCTCTTGGCCAGAGCAGAGAGCTGGGGTGAGCCCCGTGGGCCGTCGAGAGCAGTGTTGGAGGAACCGGAGCTCGGGGGGCTCTTCACCCCAACTCTCTCCTTCTACTGAAGGCTGAGCTCCAACAGCCCCCTGTGCCTTCTCAATGCCTGAGCAGGCTCTAGGCGCCATCACACACCCACAGGGTGCCCCCGCCTTGCCTCTAGACCATACTGGCCAGCCAGAAAGAATTCCCCCAGACTGGTTGGGTGAGTCTTGTTGAAGTGGTAAACACAACGAGGGTCAGAGAAGCAAGGAGAGGCCAGATGAAGGGGAAGTCTGCAGAATTGGGAATCAGGTGGTCCCCGGGGCCATGCCTTGACCTGCACTAGTCTCGTCTGGCCTAGAACCCCTGTAACCCATGTGACAGGACCAGGTGCGACTGAGCAAATGGCTGTTGGCAATACACGGTCTTGCCTCCGATATCAGCAAATGTGGCCACATAGCCATCCCTTTCCAGTTGTATTGGGCACAGGGCATTTGGTGTCCCAGGGACAAATGAAACCAGCAGCTTCGTCCTCAAGGAGTCTGATGTCCTGGGGGCGGACTCTGGACAGATGGGAAATTGTAACAAGTCGGTACCCCAAGAGTGGTAAAAAGGCAGGATGGGGGCTGTCAAGGGCCTGGGAAGGATGCAGGGGATGGTCTTACAGAACTAAGAGCCTCCCCCCCCTTTTTTTTCTTAAAGATTTTATTTATTTATTTGACAGAGAGAGAGCACAAGTAGGCAGAGCGGCAGACTGAGGGAGAGGGAGAAGCAAGCTTCCAGCTGAGCAGAGAGCCTGATGCGGGGCTCGAACCGAGAACCAAGAACATGACCTGAGCCAAAGGCAGCCACTTAACAGACTGAGCCACCGAGGCGCCCCCCGCCCTTTTTAGCCTAATTCTTAATACCTCCCCACATTAAAAAAAAGAAAACTGCTTATTTTTTTTTTTCCTCTAAATGTATTGGCCTGTTCACTAGGCAGCAATACCATTATCTTCTTGAAAACTAGTAATTACACTCTTTTCAGCTATGGAGTCTTGTGAAAAGACCCGTTCTTGGCCTTTAAAGGAAAAGAAAGGAAGCTAACTTTTGAGTGCCTACTAGGTGCCCATGGCTGTGTGTCTGTCTTTCCTGCGGGGAGAAGGGCTCTTCACAACCGTCTCACAGCCGGACGGAGCGCCCTTTGGCAGCCCCCGATGGCGAGATGATTGCTGTAATTAGTGACATCGGCAGGGACGCCTGGGTGGCTCAGTTGGTTGAGCAGCTGCCTTCAGCTCGGGTTGTGATCCCAGGGTCCTGGGATAAGGGTTCCACGTCGGACTCCTTGCTCAGAGGGGAGCCTGCTTCTCTCTCTGCCTCTGCCTGCTTCTGCTCTGACAAATAAGTAAAACCTTAAAAAAAAGAAATGGGCCAAGTGGAGAGAGGGTTGGGACGTGGGTCTTTGTGACAGTGGCCTCATGCGGACTTTGCCTGCTGTCCCCCCAGAATGCAACAAGTTCAACCAGTGTGGAACATGCACGGAATTTAAGGAGTGCCACTACATCCAGAACTACACGCTCTGGAAAGTGGGTGACTACGGCTCCCTCTCCGGCAGGAAGAAGATGATGGCGGAAATCTATGCCAACGGCCCCATCAGGTAAAAGGGGGGGTGGGGGGGCTGCGGCCGGGTCCCTGAGGCCCCTTTCCTGGCCCGGCTTCACCGTCTGCAGGAAAGCTGGCACTCACTGGACGGTAGCAAGGTGGCGCACTCACACACACATGCACACGCACGAGGGAAGGACAGCGTGAGTTCAGGCAGGATGGTCCCCACGCACGGTCCCAGGCGGCCCCCCAGGACTGTCAGTCAGGGGCTAAGTTCTCCCCACCAAGGTGCTAACCCTTCAACGCCTCGCGCTCAGCTGCGGTATCATGGCCACGGAGAAGATGGTGAACTACACGGGAGGCATCTACGCAGAGTACCAGGATCAGGCCTACATAAACCATGTCATTTCTGTGGTCGGCTGGGGCGTCAGCGATGGCACGGAGTACTGGGTTGTCCGGAATTCGTGGGGGGAACCGTGGGTAAGATGTTCGCTGATACCCCCCTCCCACCAATCCCCAGCTTTTACTGGCTTTCCAGTCGAGAACCATGGCCCTGAGCAAAGGGACTGTTCACGCTGGCCCACGGGCAGCGCTGGTGACATCGGGGGCAGGGAGGGCGGCTGTCACCGTCCTAGAGGTCACGTCCTAGAGGTCACGATGTGTGTAGCCGTCTGGCGCCAGTGGCTCCTCCCTGTCCCTGTCCCCGCCCCCCATTCCCCCACCCCATGGCTACCAACAGTGTCTGCAGACACTGCCGAGTGTCTCCTGGGGGCCCCCGCCCTGGCTGCGGAGTGGCTGTTCTGGAACTTTCAGTTCAGCTCCAGTGATGCTTTGCAACTGTCTCGTCCTTTCTGCTGTCAGTCTCGGCTCTCCTCACTAACAGTGTCGAGTTTTTTCAGAAATACTTTTGAGTTGGGTCGCAAGTCTGGGGGAGATAAATTAATTGCCAGAATATTCATTTCTAAGACTCAGTATTAACCATTAACGGCTTGAGACACAGAAATTCATTACTCTAAAGTGGGGGAGAGTGATTAATGCCGAAGTGATAAAATGTCTGTATTCCTGATGAAAGGACTAGACACCGGGGATGTCTGCAGGTAGTCAAGTCAACTGGCCCAAAGAGTCCGCATTCTGGCTACACTCACTTGCTTCTGGCTCATAGGGCCGGGCACCCTGCTTGTTACATATTAAACCAAGTAAAAGTATTTCACAGGAGGTATTTCTGAGCCGGGTCCCGCACAGGGACAGGAGCAGCTGAGCAGGTGTCAGGCCTGAGGCTGTGAGGGCGGAGGGTCAACGTGCGTGTGGACAGCAGGAGCCGCGGGAGACGGGGGTGGACAGCTAACGTGTGATCCCTCTTCCCACAGGGGGAGCACGGCTGGATGAGGATCGTGACCAGCACCTATAAAGATGGGCAGGGCGCCAGTTACAACCTCGCTGTCGAGGACTCCTGTACGTTTGGGGACCCCATCGTTTAAGGGACAGGTCTCCCCAGAAGAGCAGTGTTATCGTGAACCATAATCGGGGGTCCTGTCGCTCTGGGCACTGGGTTAGTTCCACCACGGTCTGAAGGGACTAGGGACTGGCATCAAACGTGTCTGACGGCTGGTCGTGGCCCTGTGCGCCAAGAAGGGCACAGCCTGCTGCGGCACCGGCCGGGAGTGCACTCCTGGGAAAGAGTCTGCAGTGGGACGGCTGAGAGCCCCGTGCTGGCCGCTGCCCTGCCCCAGAGTGTCTGCCTGGCCACGGTGTGATCCTCAAGGCCATAACGATGTGACTGCCAAGCTCCTCCGTCCCTGATATGGTGTTTTCTGTCTGGCAGCTGTGGTCCGTGGTGTGGTGCAGAAGGACAGACTTCTCACCAGTTCTTATGTTGCCTTGGAATCAGTGGTGGGGGTGGAGGGAGAAGATGGCCATTTGAGATTGCCCAAGTGATGAATAAAGTACGTGACCCCACAGAGGAGAGCCTGAGTGTGCCTTATTTACACACAAGAGTAACGACACCAGGACCTCCACCTGCCAATCCAGAGAAAGGCTTTTTAATTTATTCTTGGAAAATTAAGACAATGACAATAAAAGATCAATTAACTGAGTTCTTGTGAGAAGAGTCACCAGGGAAGGTGGTTCCTCTACATATCTCAGGTTCTGAGCTTCCCGCCACCGCAGGAGGGACCCAGCTCCTGTGCTGGGGGCAAGGAACGCGGTCAGCGGGGCGCGGGGGCAGCTCCGACTCGGGGGAGCCATCTGCACTAGCCGCCGTATGAACACCCAGCTCCTCCCTCCACAGCCCAGTCCCACGATGTGGACTGGCCTCTTCAGCAAGAGCTTCTGGAAGGGCTTTCCCGCCGTTGGGCTCCCAGAACATTCTGGGTCAGCTCGGGATGACGCTCTAAATTAGTTCACAAGGATGAAGTTGGACTTGCAGTGAGCTTTCACAGACAAAAGGACAACAGGCACAGGGTTAGAAACGAGGTGAACAACAACCGGGAAAGTGGTAGCAAAGAGACACGCATGGCAATCCTACCTATGAATTCTGTCACCGGGTCATGTTCACCTTCCGTTTTAATGGTCCCAGCAATGCTGTCGTTTTCCAAGATGGGGAGGAAAAGCTGCACAAAGTCAGAGGTGTACGGAGGAGCGATGACATCCAACACCTAGGAGGAGAGAACACTGGCTCACTGCCCCAACAGCCTCTGAGCATCGTCCCACCAACACCTGATGAAATGGCAATCAGTGTGGAAGAACCACCTCCCTTCCCCACCCCTTCCACTTCCCGGTGACAAGAGGGTCTCCTGCACTAAGACGGCCAGGTGATTATGGAGGTAAGGCATAGGAAATGGCTCCTGCAGGCGGGAGGGGCTGGTATCTAATCACTGTGATCACCACGATGACAGAAAGCACAGTTCTCAGAGTCAGGGACAAAATGAACTAAATTTAAGCCCAAAGGCACTGCTAGTGTTAAAGGTGTGAAACGCGAAACGAAAGGCCCACTGCTGACCTCAGTTACAAAGTAGCGAATGAGCGAGATGTCAGTGTCCAGCTTCTCCAGGCACTTCCGGATGTAACTGACAACAGGAAGTACATAACCTCGACTCAGCAGGTGAACCATCCTGTCCAACAGGGTCTTCTTCAACTCAAGCTACGAGAGCAGGGCAGACGGGTCCGTGAGAGCGGGCCCTGTCCCCAGCCTCCGCGATGCCCGGGGCGGCCCGCTCACCTGCTCCATCACGTCCAGCTGGGAGTGCTCGGTCTCAAAAAGCTTAACGAGCAGCTGCAGGACCTGCGGGTGCAGGAGCTGGTGGCAGGTGCTGATCTAGAAACACACCGGAGGGAGTCGCGCTGAGCCCTGTGCCTGGAGCTCCGGGCTCCCCTCAGTGCGGAGCACCCACAGCCCGGTCCCAGCTGGCTCCCGGTGGGTGCCCGGGACAGCGGCCTCAGCACCCAGCCCGGGGCCCCGTTGGCTGCTGCGCCATTCCGCATCCTTTCAAAGCCCTTGCTGACAACTGGAAATCTATGGAGCTAATAAGACTAATTCCTTAAAAGGAAAATCCTCGTGGAGGGTAGAAAGCGGCCGGCCGTGCAGAGAGCAGCTCCTGCACTCAGCAGACGTCCTGGCAGGACGGACCCGAGCAGGACAAGACAGACAGACGGCCGCCCCAAGCCCCGCGGCCCTCCTACCTCGTCCAGCAAGGCCAGGTGTACCGGGGTGTGGTCGGTCTGCAGCTGGAAGTACCTGGGCTCAGACACGGTCCAGTCCACCCACTTCAGCACACCCATGGCTACCACTGGAAACCTAGAGGCACAAGTAAGGCACAATGCTTCCTCTACATGGAGTTTAAAACAAACAAAAATCCCCAAAAACAAAAAACACCAACACTAAATGGCTGGGCAGGTTTAAAAAACCACGGCCAGGCCGTGTATCCCAGCAAGTCACTGCCCATACGCCCGGCCAGGGAGATGCTCGTCGTGAGACAGTCTGCGGAGGCAGCATCCTCTCGACACCATACGAGAATCCCAGGTGGGCTTCAAACCACTTTACTGGGTTTTTTTAAAGATTTTATTTATTTGAGAAAGAGAGAGAGAGAATGGGGGGGCGGTCAGAGGGAGCAGCAGACTCCCTGCCGAGCAGGAGCCTGATGTGGGACTTGATCCCAGGACTCCAGGATCATGACCTGAGCCAAAGGCAGTCCCTTAACCAACTGAGCCTCCCAGGTGCCCCCACTTTATTGGTAGAGAAGGACAAGACCATTGATGCAAAACACTCAGGGAGCTTGGAATGGGTTGACGTTCTGTTTAGCGAACTCTTTCCTTGTCCCGAGCACAAATCACCAGGGGAGAGACTCCAATACCCAAGGGCTCGCCCCATCTGTGAGCTCTTCTAACCACCGCGGGCGCTCGTACCACCGCTATGGTCACAAGTCCCTTTCAGCTAAGCAACACCTGGTCGGCCTAACGTGTACTGTAAACAGACCCTTTCCTTCCAAGCAGTTTTTGGAATTCTGGCAGGTCTTTTTCTGGGGCTAATTTGCGAACAGACTTCCGGCACAGAAGCGCCTGACAATTACTCGTGCTGCTAAAACAGACCAATATACAGACCTGTACACCTTTTTAAAAAAACACATAAAATCAGTAAGTATCTCTGAAGCTTTTTTTTTTTTTTTTTTTTGAGCTTTTAGTAAAATAAAAACCCAGACCACTCCCTCCAGAAGGATCCAGTCTGAACGGGCTGGATTTTGCTCACCTGATGCACTGGTAAAGCGTGCTCAGCTCCGCCACCAGTTCCGAGGCCCCTTTGTTCTCGTTACAGCACAAGTTGTGAACGGTCTCCACAGCTTTGGACGTGGACTTCAGCTCGTCCTTGTTGATGCCCACGCGCTTGTTCTGAGAACACACACACGAGCCCGTGAATCCCGATGACGTGCGTGGCTTTGCAGGGGGCGGGGGGTGACCTGCTACTGGCCACCTCTCCCCGCAGACCCCTTCCCATCCCTGGAGTCACGAGTCAACTCAGCCACCGCACTCCACAGTCAACCGGCTTCCAGAAACAAGCCAGGGAGGCGGGGCCTGGGGCTGAGGGAGACCTGCTCGGTTTCTCTGGCTGCACTTTCCATTCTGGTCTGAACACGTGTTACAGACACCGTGCACATTTCCTTGAAAACTTAGCACTTAGACTATTTCATGCGTGAACACTAGAAGAGAGGTTTCTGACACAAGTGGGCTCATCAACTTCTTATAGCCAAAATTCCCAAATAATACCAGAGACGAAGCTCCTTGTCTCCTGAAAAGCCCAGGAATTCTCAGAACTGACAGTACCTTTTTCCAGGTCTCAACGACGCTTGCCGCATAGGCCAAGATATGGATGTACTTGTGCTTGTGGTCCTGGTTGATTCTGGCCCCTGGCTTGAACAGCGACTGCATGAACAGGTCCAAGAAGGCTGGCACCCGAATCTGAGGGACACACGGCATCATTGGAAAGGAATGCACGAAAGAGATGTCAGGTAAGTCCACATACACTTATGGAAGCAGTGGGGGCATGCCCGCTCACACCCACCCTCCCATGCTCAACCCAGCAGGTGTCCCAGTGTGTGCAAGGGCTGAGGATGTGATGGGGAAGGATGAGGAAAAGAACAGAAATGTTTCAACACTGATTTGTACTCAGGGACTTAAGAGAAACACAGGCTTTGCAAAATAACCCTTCCTATTGGCATGGCGGGTATCCCAGCTTATTACTGAAATGAAAGCAACTCACGAGTTCAACAGGAGGCGGGTCCATGCTTGTAAACATCTTGAACAGGACTGTGATGTCGGCTGGATTCAGGGCTCCTTTGGACAACATAGCCCCAAGGGCCTGACAGGCTCTGGGGTAGGAGGCAGCTGTGCCCAGTGCTAGTGTGATCTGACTGGCATCATGACCTCTTGATGAACAAAAGCATATATCCCATTGTTAAGAAGGCAGTGCCCTGCCCTGCTCTGCCCTCTCCTTCTTCCTCTGCCTCTTCCTTTTTTCATCCTGAACACTTGGGACTGTCTGGGTCCCTCTGTTTCTTGTATTTCTGTCATTCACCGGGAACCTGATCAACCCATAAAAACAGCCTTTAGAGCTAACTGGGAAAGAAAGACTGGACGCAGCTCACAGACTTTCCAAAAGGAGCCACACTTTTAATGTGTTATTAAGACTCCGTTAGTGGAGAATAAAGCTCATGAGGGCTCATTTAGTTCTGTAAGATACAGACTACAGCGTAACAGTGAGACTACTGGGTAACTGTTTCAGGACCACCATTATTTGCTACTGATGGATCCTAGTATATGAGAATACGAGTTCACAAATTCAGTGAATTAAACAATCATCAATTACTTTGCGAAATAAGCATCAAAGCCAAACGTCGGAAAGCAAGCTCTCTACAGCTACTGAAAATTACCCCGACTTTCCCAGCTGTACTAGGTAAAAGGAAGCTTATCTGTCAAAACAGGAGGACCCCGAGTCTCTGGTTGTGGAGAAAGGGCAAGGGGGCGTGGGGAGGATTTCACGGGGAGCACTGAGTTAGGACCAGGGCTGGCAACTACACGGCCCTCACTTCTCCTGTGCGAAGCGCTGCACCTCCTGGGCGATCCTGCGCACGGCGGAGCCC